TTGGCTACTGGTGAGGTCAACGGGGAGGGTCTACTGGAAGAGGCTGGTCTAAGTGGAGAGCGTGGGGAGAGTCAACTGGGCTGGCCAACTGGAAAAGTCTAGTCAACTGGAAAGAATTTGGCCATTGGAAGAGTCTTGGATACTGGTGAGGTCACCTGGGAGGGTCTACTGGAAGTGGAGAGCTTGGGGAGAGTCAACTGGGCTGGTCAACTGGAAGGGTCTAGTCAACTGGAAGGAATTTGGCCACTGGAAGGGTCTTGGCTACTGGTGAGGTCAACTGAGATGGCCAACTGGAAGGGTCTAGTCAACTGGAAGGAATTTGGCCACTGGAAGGGTCTACTGGAAGAGGCTGGTCTAAGTGGAGAGCTTGGGGAGAGTCAACTGGGCTGGTCTACTGGAAGGGTCTAGTCAACTGGAAGGAATTTGGCCACTGGAAGGGTCTACTGGAAGAGGCTGGTCTAAGTGGAGAGCGTGGGGAGAGTCAACTGGGCTGGCCAACTGGAAAAGTCTAGTCAACTGGAAAGAATTTGGCCATTGGAAGAGTCTTGGATACTGGTGAGGTCACCTGGGAGGGTCTACTGGAAGTGGAGAGCTTGGGGAGAGTCAACTGGGCTGGTCAACTGGAAGGGTCTAGTCAACTGGAAGGAATTTGGCCACTGGAAGGGTCTTGGCTACTGGTGAGGTCAACTGGGAGGGTCTACTGGAAGAGGCTGGTCTACTGGAAGGGTCTCACCTACTGGAAGGGTCTTGCCTACTGGGAGAGCCAACGGAGATGGTCTACAGGAGGAGCCCAGTCTACTGGAAGGATCTTGCCTACTGGAAGGGTCTGGCCTACTGGGAGAGCCAATGGAGCTGGTCTATGGGAAGGGTCTTGCCTACTGGAAGGGTCTAGGCTACTGGAAGGGTCTTGCCTACTGGAAGAGCCCAGTCTACTGGAAGGGTCTAGCCTACTGGAAGCGTCTAGTCTACTGGAAGGGTCTTGCCTACTGTAAGGGTCTAGCCTACTGGAAGAGCCCAGTCTACTGGAAGGGTCTAGCCAGCTGGAAGAGTTCAGTCTACTGAAAGGGTCTTGCCTACTGGAAGAGTTCAGTCTACTAGAAGGGTCTAGCCTACTGGAAGAGTTCAGTCTACTGGAAGGGTCTAGCCAACTGGAAGGATCTTGCCAACTGGAAGAGCCCAGTCTACTGGTAGGGTCTAGCCTACTGGAAGAGTTCAGTCTACTGGAAGGGTCTTGCCTACTACAAGGGTTTAGCCTACTGGAAAGGTCTAGCCTACTGGAAGGGTCTAGCCTACTGGAAGAGTTCAGTCTACTGGAAGGGTCTTGCCTACTGGAAGGGTCTTGCCTACTGGAAGGGTCTAGTCTACTGAAAGGGCCTAGCTTACCCGGGAGGGCCACCTGGGCCAGCCAACTGGAGGAAGCCAGCCACGTGGGCAAGCTCTGTCCTTCCCCCACCGCCCTTGACCTTCTCTTGCGCCCACCCCGCAGACACCCCCGTGACGCCGCCCAACGTCTACATCTTCCCTCCACCGGCGGAAGAGTTGGCCCGTCAGGAAACGGCCACCTTGACCTGCTTGGCCACCGGTTTCCGTCCCCGTGACATCTTGGTGACCTGGACCCAAGAAGACCGTCCCGTAGCTCCGGGGAGCTTCTCCATCTTCGGTCCGGAAGAAAATGGCGGCACCTTCAGCGTCTACAGCATGTTGACCGTGCCGGCGGGGGCGTGGCAACGGGGTGACGCCTTCTCCTGCGTGGTCGGCCATGACGGCATCCCCATGCACTTCGTGCAGCGGACGGTGGACAAGAGCAGCGG